GTGTTGAGCTGTTTTCCTTTCCTGCTTTCCCGGGCGGGGACGTCTCCACCGGCCTGTCGCGCTCGCCGTTGTTCTTTCTGGGATTTCTTAGGCGCCCTTTGGGTGTTCGCTGCCTAAAGCAGCTCTCTCTCCCTCTCTCTGAAGGGATATACCTCCTGTGTTTCAACACAAATGCTTCTGAAACGGGCTTGGGGTGGTTTGGTGGGAATGTGGGGGATTGGGAGCAGCGACACCCCTGAGCTCCACCCCGAGCACAGATCACCACGTACAGTCCTTGGACAGCTGGAAAGGAGAAGAGTCAACCAGCCAAGTGTCTCTGCACCCACAGAAACGTGCCCACCATTAGAAGAGATCCACAGGGGAATTACCCTCTGGCTCCTCCTCGACACCAACCTGTGCTTTCCTCTCCAGAGAGGAAGGGAGTCCTTTTTCCACCCAGTAACTTCCCACCGGCCCCCACAAATACCCACACCTGCCAACATGTGGGATTCATTCCCCTCCAGTCCCCGCTTCCCCTCTCAAAAACCACAATAATAACACTAAAAGCAAACAAACAAACAAAAAAATTAGAGTAAAAGAGGTCTAAGAATCACAAAGGGTTCGGGAAACAAGTTTTTGAGATGCCTAAACCCCCTCCCAGCAATGAGAGAGCAGCCCAAAGAGAGGAAGGAAGAGCTGACAGGCCTGAATATTTTCCCACCTTTGCCTCTGACGACGTGAAGTTTGTAGTTTTTTTGGGGGGGGTGTATTTTTTTCTTAGGGGTTCGTTGACAGAAAAGCAATCTTAGAAGTCCTACGCTTCTTTCCTCCTCTTCTCTCTTTGACCTTACGTGAAAACAGGGTATATTTGAACACATGGAATGTCCTCCAATCGAAGCAGAAGTGAATGGATCACTGGGATTTGCTGATGCTTTCTTGTCTGGACATCTTTGTTGCACTTAGAGTTTACATATAATGGGTATTAAAACAACTTTGAAGGGCTCTCGTGCACCTCAGTCGAGAGGCCCTTCAATAGGTGTGTGTTCTGGTGAACATTCATATATATTTATTGGTTATAGCCAGTTTAAAATATTTTCCCTTTTTTTGTATTATTTATCCCCGATATTACGTATTTATATGAGGGAAAGAAAGAAAGAAAAAAAAAAAAGAATCAAATTGTACTTTTTTAGTATTTACTTGTTACAAAGGACATTGTGTTTTCCTTGTCATTGTACAACGAGCTTATTTTAGTTATTGTAATTTAGAAAGACCAGTAGTTTTATGTTACCTTCGTACTTATGAATAATGTAATTAGTTCTACTGGAGGCATGAGAGCAGAACCAGACTGTAATTGTATAGTCCTGAATTAGAAGAACTATAGCTGATCCCTCCCTCCCACCTCACCCCTCCTCTTTGGAGATCTTTCTTTGTTCTTACAGTAGTTATTTTATTTCCTCGCTCAAAGGGTTGTCTGTCGAACAATTCTTGAATAAACTTTCTGTTATCAATTTTTATCTCGTCCTATCGGTCGGATTGAAAGGTAAAAAATAAATAAATAAAAAAAAAAATCGGTGGTTTGTAGGTAAAAAAATAGCCAAGGGAAGGCGAGGAAGGGGCGGAGGAGTGGAGGTGCCAGGACTGGGCTCGGCGATCCATGTTTGGGGGGAAATCCTGGGAAT